GCTTTTTTCTTCAAACTAATTCTAATTTCAACTTTAAAGTTCATTTTATGAAATTGTTAAAAATAGAAACAGAACTATTTATGTTTGGGAAGACTGAACTAATATGAATCTATTTACTAAGATGCATTTATCGGGTGCCTGGGTGGCTCAGATGGATGAGTGTCGGCCTTCAGCTCAGATCATGATCCCAGGGTCCTGGGATCGAGTCCCGCATCAGGCTCCCTGCTCAGGGCAGAGCCTGCTTCTCCCTCTCCCTCTGCCATTCCCTCTGTTTGTGCTCTTCTGTCTATTTCTCTGTCAAATAAATAAATAAAATCTTTAAAGAAAAATAAATTAAAAAAATAAAGTGCATTTACCAGGGAAGCATCTAGATAATCAAAGATAATCTTTCTTCATATGTTTTTCTTATTAATAGTAATCTACCGTACTGGACACTGGAAAGGGGTAGTACGGAAAAAAAAATTGGTATTCCAATCTGGTAAATGTCGTCTCATCCAATAATATAAATAGTCACTGTGGATAACTCAGTCTTTTTTTTTTCCTCCTTGATAAATGTTTAATCTTTGAGGTTCTCTTCATTCTTACCAGATGACATCTACAGTAGATACAGAAAGTAGGGCCGTAAGTAATTTCCTATTTTGGGAGCACATGCATCAAATCTGCAGGGATGAGACTCTGTACAATCCTCTGGCTCATCTCATTTCCATAATGATGCCTCTTGGCTCCTGCACACTGAGTGTGATGCTGGCATCCAATTCTGAAATTTGAGGCTGGTTAATAACTGGGATGAATCAGATGTATCTCAGGAAAAGTGGTTGGTGACACACACACACACACACACACACACACACACACACACACACACCCTTGATTTAGTGCTTGGGGCACATACAACTTACATAATGGCTGTGAAAGGGAAACAAAAGCAAATATGAACTATTGGGACTTCATCAAGATAAAAATCTTCTTCAGAGTGAAGGAAACAATCCACTAAACTAAAAGGCAACCTATGGAATAGGAGAAGATATTTGCAAATGACATATCTGATAAAGGGTTAGTATCCAAAAATCTATAAAGAACTTATCAAACTCAACACCCAAAAAACAAATAATCCAGTTAAGAAATAGGCAGAAGACATGAAGAGACATTTTCCCAAAGACATACAGATGGCTAATAGACACAGAAAAGATGATCAACATCACTCAGCATCAGGGAAATGCAAATCAAAACCACAATGAGGTATCACCTCACACCCGTCAGAATGACTAAAATGAACAACACAAGAAACAACAGGTGTTAGTGAGGATGTGGAGAACGGGACACCCTCTTGCACTGTTGGTGGAAATGCAAACTGATGCAGCCACTCTGAAAAACAGTATGGAGTTTCCTGAAAAAGTTAAAAATAGAACTACCCTATGATCAGCAATTGCACTGCTAGGTATTTACCCAAAGGATACACAAATCCTAATTCAAAGGGATACACACACACCCATGTTTATAGCAGCATTATCCATAATAGCCAAATTATAGAAACAGTCCAAATATCCATTTATCCACTGATGAATGGATAAAAAAGAAATGTTATTCAGCCATATAAAAGAATTAAATCTTCCCATTTGCACTGATGTGGATGGAGCTAGAGTGTATTATGCTAAGTGAAATAAGTCAGTCAGAGAAAGGCAAATACCATATGATTTCACTCATATGTGGAATTTAAGAAATGAAACAGATGAACATATGGAAAGGAAAAAAAAACAGAGAGGGGCAAACCATAAGAGACCCTTAACTGTAGAGAACAGACTGAGGGTTGATGGTGGGAGGTGGGCCGAGGGGATGGGTTAGATGGGTGATGGGGGATATAGGAGGGCACTTGTGATGAGCACTGGGTGTTGTACGTAAGTGATGAATCACTAAATTCTACTCCTGAAACTAATATTACACTATAAGTTAACTAACTGGAATTTAAATAAAAACTTGAAGTTTAAATACACACACACACACATATATGAACGTTCAACGACATTCAAAATGGTTTTGTGAGACTAATGAAAGGGAGACCTCTGATACCTTTGTGATTTTAATGAAGACACGTGTGGATCAATAACAAACATCAAAAAAATCTTAAAAATAAAATTTTAAAAATGTAAAAAAAATACTGGCTGTGATTTTCGTTTTTTTTTCCAAAGCAAAACTGTTCTACACTAAAGACCTCAACAGCAGAATTTCTCCCCCTTCTCCATGGCTCCCTTTGGCTATCCACCGACTCTGACTCAACAATTGCCTCATCCCTGCTTGAGGAGTGGAGGAATTTCTGAGTCCCTTCACACTAGGCGGGATCCTAGGGAGGCTTGGGAGCACTATATCTGTGTGCTAGCTGACCGATGTGCAGGTGCCCCAGGCTGTGTCAGGGAAAACTGAGAGCTGGTCTCTTCACAGAGCCCCATATGGCAAGTGAAATCTGGCCCAGAGCAAAAGGATCACGATAAAAATGTCTCACTGAGTGCTCCCCCTCTCTGTACCCAATTCTGCCCACAATTACAGGAAGGTCAAATGGTGCTGGTCATCTGCTCCATTTCCCCCTCCAGGCAAAATTTCTTCCAAGCGCTGTTCTCCCTTCTGGTGGTGGCACATACCTACACTTCGGCTGGGGGGCCATTATAGCCTGAGATAAGTACAATTGCTTTCCACTGTCCAGTTCTCTAAGAAAATAAATGAAACACACTTTTAATTAATACTCTCAAAATATTGAATTACTCATTTTATCACCCCAAAATTAGATTTTTTTTCCTCTAAAGACTACATTGGATCTCTTGTTATTCCCCTTTCAGCTCTCTTGATCTTTTCTCTCAAATATCAGGCCAAGACCATTGTTAAATATTGAGGTAGATCCACAAAAAATAATAAAACCTTGTACTAATAATAAAGGCTTTTATTAATTAATAAAACCTTTTGCCTCATCTAATAACCTAGGACTCACCACTGTGCAAAACTGAAATAAAAGCATTAATTGAAATGCAGTGTAATACAAGTCATGTTCAAAGAAAATGCAACATCTTATAGGAACAAAACACTATTCTATACATTATCTCATTTGATCCTCAGAAAAATCACCTTGGACATCAGTGCTTTCTTTTCTGTTTTTACAGATGATGAAATAAGATCAAGTTTTACTTAAATAATAAAAACCATAAAGTGGTAGATAAAGAGCCACTGTACCATTTTACGATGTTTTCTGCCACATAATTTGAGTGATATTAAGAAGACATTTATAAACAGATGGCAATTTATGAGCTTAACATTTAACTAATGACAAGAGCAAGTTAGAATTCTAGTAGCATTTCCACTTAGATGCTTGCTAGGCACACTCATATTTCATCCTCCCAGTAACACAGTAGACTAATCCAGCTCTGGACGTTTACAGAAATGGGGGGGGGGGCAGGGCTAAAATTAAGTAATTTCTATCAAGATACCAAGGGAAGGAGATAAGATTTGTCTATGAATGAACTTTATATTCCTAGAATGTTAAGATTATGTGGCACTTTCAATATGAAGATAAGAAACATGGAATTCAGTGCTACCCCCACCTCCAAACCTAAGGAAACATTTACTTATTAGAAGTTGAGAAGCAGAAACAAGTGTTTCTTTAGAAATGCAGAGGATCCCAAAAGCCAATCCAGCACTAATACCTCTGTACAGGTATTCCCAAGGATGTTCACCAAAATTACAGAGTTCATTTGAAGTCATTAAAACAACAGAAAGACCTCCCTTCAGTTTTAAACTGGTTTATTTCATCTGATTCCAAAGGTTATTCATCAATGCCTGTTCTGTATCATAACACATAGTTAATCAAAGTATTCTACGGACTGGATTATCCTATTGGCCAGCTGTTTTGGATAATCATAAATCTACTCTGTCTAAAAATTCTTAAATGTTTGACACTGTGTAAAAAATAGTGATGTTTGATTTATTTTATTAATATGTTTGACATAGACTATACATGACTAATTAAACTATCACAAAAATGAAGACACAAATTTAAAGTTACTATGACATCCAAAAAAAATTAAGTTACATGTAAAAATCTTATTTTTAAGATCATATATCATTTAAAAAATTAATTCAACTATATGGTAATTTCACTTTTAATTAAAGAAAGGTTTTGGTTTCAATTATTTATCTAACCGAATGTATTGAACACATACTATGTCCCAGGAGATTTAGTGGTTAATAAAACCAACTATTTAGTACTCTTAAGCAGTTCATAATCTGATGCAAGCCACAGACCACAACAAGCAAACAATTTTACATAGCAATAAATCATATGAAGGAAATAAAACTAGTTGCTGAAGCACAGAATCATAGAGTGAGCCCACAGTGGGACAGGGATAAAGGCTAATTTAAATTATGAGGTCAGAGAAATTCTAACTGCAGAGGGAAGATTTGGGCTAACGACCTGAGTACCAGGGGTGCCTGGGGGGCTTAGTCGGTTAAGTGCCTGACTGGTGATTTCAGTTCAGGTTGTAATCTCAGAGTTGTGGGATCGAGCCCCACAACGAGCTCCATGCTCAGCGGGGAGTCTGCTTGAGATTCTCTCTCCCTCTCCGTCTGCCTCTGCCTCTCCCCACCACTCTCCTGCGTTCTCTCCCTCTCTCTAAAATAAATAAATAAATCTTAAAAAGAAAAAGAAAAAGACCTGAGTGCTTCAGAAAACAGCTGTGACATCGGGTACTAGAACATATGAGGTTGGAGACACAGGCAGGAATGAGACTGGAGTGTTCTAAGGATGGAAAGTAAGGCAATGTGTTTGAAGAACAGGGATTGGAGAGGTGAGTAGAAGAAAAAGTGTCCGTGAATTGGGCACCAGCCAAAACACAGAAATCCTTTATGCTATCGTCAGGGGATTAAATTTTATTCCAAAGGCATTAAAGGACAATTGGAAGTTTTTAAGAAGGAGAGTGTCATAATCTAACTTGAGATTTTAAAACATAGCTGCTCTATGGAGAAAGTTTTGAAAGAAAGACAAATTTCAGCCATAAATTTTAAAAGAATAATTAGGATAACAAAATTTCCTGTAACTGGTATCTTAGAATACCTGATTCATAATATGATCAACAAAGATTTATTTCTCACTCTGAACCTTTAAAAGTTTCTCAGTGGAGATAACCTTTTCTGCCTGTGGATGTAAATGTAGTCAAATCTCATGAATTTCTGCTTTGTCTTGGTCAACAGACATTTCTCCAGTGCAATACAAGTCAGCTATTACTCTAATGCTTTAATATCTACTTAAAATCAGAAGTTTTCAACACCTTCCAAACTCAGATTTCTAATAGATATTGCCTGCCTTTGGGAAAGGGGTGAAGTCAGCATCTATATACTCTCTCCCTGTTCTACTGCTCTACCTCTTCCCAGCCAATGCTATGAACTTTGGCTAAGGCTAAAGAAAACATGGAAGGCTAGGTGGTGGGGAGGCTGTCTGGGGGCAGGAGTTGCTAAGAAAAGGTAAAGAATGGAAAAGGCAATTCTCATCATTTCCCTTGGGTGTGTGACTTTATGCTCTGTGGGCTTGGTGGATGTTCAAAGATGTTACCTTCTCTCACAGGGTTTCTTAAGTCCTTCAGAGAATTTAGCGACTCTTCTGTCAACTCCTTGACCCGCGGGTACCTCTATTCTAATTCTGGATGATTGTCACACCTTTGTAAGCCCACCTCCAGCACCAAATATTTCGGAGGATATAAGTCATTCTCAAAGCTGCCATTTTCATCCTGCTGCTGAAGAGACATGATAGCTTGGCTGAGTCTGCTCCAGTTTTAGGTATCTTCCAAGTCTCAGACTGATATTACTTGTGTCCCCTCTGTAGGTTTCAGAGAGGTGAATGAGGTGGGAAGCCAGGGGACCTTTGGGGAAAGCAACCTCTTTCCTCAAAGAAATAATTTCATCAAGTCTTCTTGCCTTCCCTATAATCTGGACCTTTTATTCTGTCCTTGATATGGCTGAAGGATCCAAAGATGTGGACTATTGCCTTTTGTAAATTCTGTGTATGGCCATTTACCCCAGTTACTTTGGAGTCTGCCATTTATTATTACTGACATCTCATTTAAGGTAATGCAGACACTGTAATTGTACTACATACCTGATCTTTTCTAGGAACTTTACTGTTAATAACTTTGATTGGCATGAACACATTGTTTTGTTTCCACTAGTTCATCAAGAAACATGAATTTGTTCATATTTTGTGTTAAGGATACAGCTTTGAAAAAAGGGTAAGTTGTTTGTTCTAATCAAGCATGCTTCCTATTGGGGAAAACGGACTTTATCTGAGTAAATAAACAAATAAGCAAAACAACTTAAGATGATGATATGAGCCCTGATAGAAGTAAAGAGTGTGCTTGTGATAGAGAGCAGTGGACCACAGATGAGAAAGGGCTGGTAGGGAAGCCTGCTAGTGATGGGATGGCCAAAGACAGCTTCTCTTAGCAGGTAAAATAGGAGACTTTAAGGACGAGGAGGTAACAAATCCTGAGAGAAGAAGGAAAATAGTTTTCTAGGCCCAATGGAACAAGAAGTACAAAAGCCTCAAGATGGGAAAAGTATTGAAAGGATCAAGGATCTAGGAGGCTAGTGTGACCAAACCACAAACAGCAAGGACGGAACTAGCTCAGGATGAGAGCGGAGAAAATTTTACCAGTACAAATTATTTGAAAAGTACTTAACATTCCTTTATGAAATCTAGATTGACAGTGTGTCTCCTCTGATATTCACATTAATACATATAAAATACGTTAATTTCAATAGGAGAGCTAATTAGTGTCTAGCTTGATTTGTCAATGATCATTTAAACTAGGCCTTGAAAGAAAGAGATCCACTTTCAGGGATATGATTCAATTCTTTGCTGAACAAAGAAACTCCAAAACCCTCAGGGTGTAGAACTGTTTCCCTAATGCAGTATGCTGAAGAAAGACAGCCCACTGTGCTCAGAGTGAATTTAGCTG